GCCCCAGGCAGGAATCGAACTTGCGATCCTCTGTTCCAAAGGCGTGTAGTCTAACCACTACGCTATACATATATATACATATATACATATATATATCTATATATACATATATAGTTAGAACAATTAGAACAGTTAAAAACAGTTTATAAACAGTTATATAACAGTTATAAAAGTTGGACAAATGTATATAAAAATTAATGGAATTATTTGCAGAAAAAATATTGGTTAAGTCATTTTCTAAATGACTTTTAGTCTTAATTTAGCACCAGTTCACAACAGCAGTCAATTTTTATTGTAAAGACCCTAAAACCATAATAAAAAAGAGCTTTTCCATGCATTTCTGTTTAATCACATTCATCTCAAACTGATTCAAAGCAAAGAAAAATGGTAAAATGATATTAAGAGAAGAAAAACAAGATTGACATTATTAGACATACTGGAACTGGATTCGACTGGGTTTTCTAAGAAATTCACATTAGCTGACAATAGCCTCAGTTTTTTCCTATTTCTGTTTTGTTTTTTCCTATTTCTGTTTTGTTTTTTCCTATTTCCGTTGTGTTTTGTGTGGTTTTCTGTGTTTTTCTGTTCAGTGGAACTGGATTGGACTAGACAAGGCTTGAATTTTTCTGGAAGTTCACATCGATCGACCACAGCCTGGATTTCTCCAATCTGAATATTATCATATGTCCCAGTGATTGACGTTGTGTGGATCTCTCCATCACCGTAAGTATGCCTGAGGAGTGCTGTGAATGAAATATCAACTTTTTCTTTGTGCCGAACAGAACATTCCACTCCAGGATCTCAAAGTTGTCTTTGTTAACCAATATTTCAAATTGAAAACTTCTCTTTTCTATTGCACTAGGATAGTAGCAATATCGACCCTTGCTGGGCGTATAAAAGCCAGCGTCACACTTGTACTTACAGATATAATCAACTCGATTAGTATAGCCATTGTAAAGTGAGACAGCATTCCTTGGAAGAGAGTTGTTCCAGGTCACCCACATCAGGTTAGTGCCATTCATAGGGACAACAGAGTACAACTGAACTTGCCTCTTCTGTGTAAAGTTACGAACACTTAGAAGTGGCAGATTTGTTAGCATCGGTCTGTTCACTGAAGTTGGAGGGATGCCACTGGAATCTGTTCATGTGGATAAAAGTGGATAAAAAGGAAAAGGACATGCATGAAATTTTAAAATGCAGGTACACAAAAAATTAAATGATGGAAAAATCATTAACCACCAGAATAAAGGTAGCAATATAAAGATTTTTTGGGCTTTCATTTGCATCACTTTGCTTGATGACCAGGTGCTATCAAAATACACCGTATAATAGCATCATTATATAGCAGCATCAATAGGGGAAAAAAAACATAAATATGATATATTATCATTTTACTTCTATATATTTCCTTATTATACTACAAAGAGAAATATTATAATATTTCTTTAATATTTAACTTTTTCCCTAAAATGTGATTGTGACAACATGTTTTGGGAACCTAACTCAATATAAGAGGGAAGGGAGGGAGGGGTTGTTTTTCTGCTCTTTTCTTGGAGGGGGATTTCCATTCCAGAGTTTTCCATTCCAAACTGTAAATTTAGCCAAGAGCTGGGACCAGCTCCAAATAAAGGGGTACAAGTATATATTGCTTGGGCGTTGTGCTCTATGTCTGTTTGGCACACTATTCCTTTTACTTTTAAACCCATTTGAAACAGTATGAAATTACGTTATTAGCCTCTGTATCACATTTGCTGTCAGACATTTGATTATAAGCATATAATTTACCAAATTTCTGCTGACAGTTTGTGCTTACTGTCTTTCTGCTGCGTACTGTTCTCAATGTCATGAGAACTGGCTGAAGACAGAACTAGCAGGATCAGCAGCAACAACACTGGCAAATGTATGTGGGATATGAAAACAGGGGGAAAATCATATAATCAGGAGTGTATAAAATCAATAAAAGCTCTGAACAGCAAAGCTATGAAGACACTGAGTCAAGAGTCTGAACTGTCTCAAGATGGGGAATTTGTCACTGTTCTGGTTCAGGTTGACCCAGTATTTTGAGTTATGTTTTGGTTTATTTTTGAATGATTGTTCTTTATGTTTCTCTGGTGCTTTGTTGGGTTTTATGATGAATCTGCCTTTCAAGTTACTTTGGTGTGTTTGATTGTTTCCTTATTCTCTTAGTGCTTGTGATGATGATGATGATTATGATGATGTTCTATGTTCCAGCTTATTCTGGTTTATTCTTAGTTCTGCCCGTGTTAAGTCTGTGTTTCTTAGTCTGCATCCTTGTGTCTTATTTTCTGTTTTATTGTGAAAGTCTATGTCTTATGTTAGTGTGTGCCGCTTTGCTTCCCCTGTCTCGTTAGTCCAATTACTCCCAGCTGTGTCTCCCTCCTGTTGCCCATTCCCTGATTACCATCCTGTGTATATTAGCCCTGTGTTTTCCTGTGCTCAGTGTTGCGTCGTACCCTCAAGCTGTGTGTTTCCTTGTGTGCCTCTCTGCAACGTGTGAGTTTATATTTTTCCCAGTTTAGTTTAGTATACTTTTCCCCTGTCAGCAAATAAAGCTGAGTTTTTTGAGTTCATCCCTCGAGTCTGAGTGCCTGCATCTTGGGTCCAACTCCTGCCTGCCACACAGCGATTCATGACAGAATTCCTTTTGAAAGAGGAGCTAAACGTTTACAACCTGTTTTAAAAATGTGCAATGTTTGTTAAAATTGGCAAAGAACACAATAAGCAGTGCTCACCTTCCATCTTCGGTCTGCTTTCGCTTGCTTCAACTGCCCTGTGACTTCCTTGTGATTAAGTATGTGTGTGCTTACTTTCTCTTTCCACTCTCTTTTAAGGGGGCCAGTGCGATAAAAGTAGGATGTGAGGGAGTTTCCTGAAAATATTTTGCTGTTATATTTCTGAATGGGGGGGGAACAGTCTAAACACAGTCGTTATCAGGGTGTTGTTGTTCAGCTCCAGCCTTGAGACCACAGCTGGCGCCGAAGGGGTATCCGCGTGAAATGATGGTGTTTTTTACTTTAGTGCGAACAACTCATATGAATTTCAAAGCTGTTCTAACAGTCCGACACTGGTCTCTCAATCTCCCGTTGGAGAGCCGTGAGCTTCTCCGTGATGTTATCAAACTTACGCTCCGTGATGTTGCCATTCTTGTGCTCAAAGAGCCGATTCTGAGAACTGTATAGTAATGGTGATGCCATTTCCTTTTCGTTTTTGTCCCAGCAATAAAGCTGCGCTTTAAGTTTGACTTCCGTGTTGAATCCTGCATTTTGGGTCCACCACTCCTGCCTGCCTCCCTGCCACACAGCTAATCATGACAGCTTTACTTAGTCCCTATGGACCCCAAAGCCCTTTACTCTACATTCAGTCATTCACCCATTCACACACACATTCACACAGTTTTCTTTGACCAGTTTATTGCTCAAAGTCAGTATCCAGACAGTGAAAGTGCACAGTCTGCTTTATGATTCAGCCATAAAGCAGCTATATAAACCTGGAGGTGTCCAGAGGTGGACTCACCGGAGAGCGACAGTAAGGGTGAGTGCTGATCAGCACATTCATGCTCAAATTTCTAATGACAATAACCTGACATATTTAGATGTTAATTTTCTTATAAAGTGGGATATTTCATTTTATTTTACAATGTATGTCAAATAAAAATCTAATCAGATGTGGCAAGAGGAACTCTACTATTTTAATATATACTGTGGTTTTAAGAAATGCTTTAATATTACCATTTTAAGGCAATAAGTCATCAAATGTAAAGTTATTTTATATGCTATATGTGTGTTTATAACTTCCACCTGACCTATAATGGAAATAATAATATGATTGTTTTTAAATTTTAAATCATATTTGTTTTGTTTCACTGATGCATACTACTGTCATAAATACTGTCTCTTTTGGGTCGGTGGGATGGGGGAAAATGTAGAATAAACAGACCCAATACACCCAAAAATGTAACATAGAAGATAAACTACATATAAAGCGTTATTGTGGTGGCACAGATGTTTATTTCTTCTATATTTTGGGGGTTTTCAGTGAAAATGTAGTTCACTATGTTGGATTCTAACCTTTCAGAGTAAAGTCAAAAATAAACGGCTGTAAATTTAGTTCTTTGTCGTTTAAAGTGTTTGACACTGATGAAGATAAAAATTGTAATAACTGAAACTAGCTGAAAGAAAGAAATAATATTTGAAACTGTAAAATATTACGCCAGAAGATATTTGAGCTAATTTGTCATTTGGATAGCTGGATTGGTAGAATAATATATTCTGATGTTAAAGATTTAGTTTGTAAAAAGATCTCATAACTTAGAGGTTTTGTGTTTCACCTTCAGATGAAGCTGTCTGTGTTGTTGCTGTCGGCCCTGCTGGCTCTGTCCTCAGCCAGTCTGCAGGACATTGTGAAGAAGAGCATACAACTCAGAAAAGGTAAGCATATCATGCATTTTATGACATATTGTATAGAGATATGGATAACAGCTTTGTAGTAGCACTTAAACCGAAGTAAACCTGAAGTGTGTTGCGTTCAACATCCAAAAATGTAGTTTCTGAATATTTTGCATATTTTGTAGCTAGAATAAAAGAAAGGAAAAACAACCTTAATTCAGGATCATTCAAGTGTTAAGAGGTTAAAAAGAGATTAAAGCTTGTTGCCTGAATTGAGGTTGATGTGTTTGACACTTATCTCTTCTGTTTTATGGCATTTTTTCTTTTCTTTGTCTCTCTTATATAGTGTCCTTACTGAAACCAGAGGTGGAGGGCCGGGTCCCTGAACCAACTGGTAACAGAAAGGTGTTGGGTCCTCTAAATCCTGCTGATCTGGAGCAGCAACAGGATCTGCCTTCCTCCTTCCTCTTTGGCGATAATGTCAACCTGCAGTGGCTGACCTGGGATGGATCTCTGCCCAATGGAACCATTTCCATTTACAACGGCTATACCGAGCGTATTGACTATGTCTGCAAGTACAAGTGTGAGGCTGGCTTTTATAACCCTAACCTGGGACCTTACTGCCGCTACCCCTATGGTGACCGTGAGTATTACGCCCCTGAGTTTGAGATCCTGGCTAACAAGGACAACTTTGAATTCCTGGAATGGAAGGAAGGCTCCTACGGTTCACTGCCACAACATTCAGTGAGGACGTGTGCAGGAGTTGACATCTACGTTGGAAAGAACAAGTATGGTCTCGGGAAGGTTGTTCCTCAGTTTGAGGCCTTCTTCTTGCCCTGGGAAGGTGATGAGTACTGGTATAAGAACTACCAGGTCCTGGCCATCAACAGGGACGCCTACACCCAGCACATCTCTGATGTTAAGTACAGCATTGATGAGGTCACCATATTCCAGTATCCTCCTGAGACCATGCATATCTCTGGTATCACCAACAATGAGTGCCAGACAGTGGTGAAGACAGTCACCATTACAAAGACCTCAGAGGTGGAGACTACCTGGAACATCGGACGAGCCACGATGCTTGGTGTCACGGGCAGCATCACAGCCGAAATCCCCTTCATCGGCTCCGGGGGCATTGAGCTTGGTGCTGAGAAGACGCTGCAGTTCTCGAGGGGAACCACCGTAATCGAGACGCTCAGCCACTCCGTGTCTGTGGAGCTCACAGTCCCACCAAACCACACATGCAAAGTCCGCATGGAGGGACGCAAGATCAAAGCCGATATCCCCTACACGGCTCGCCTCAGCCGAACATACCGCAACGGAGAAACCCAGTGGACCACCATCACCGGGACGTACGACGGAGTCCAGATCGGAGAAGTCCGGGCAGTGGTGGACCGGTGTGAACCTGTCATAGATGCCAAGCCTTGCCCCTGAAAGGCTGAGATAAGATACATTAGATAGCAATTTTCCAATGTTATCTGATGATTGTGATATTGGAAGCAAATGATATATCACAATAAAAAATACCACTCATGTCTTTGTTGGAAAATTTATAATATCTTTCATGTGCGCAAGTGTATGAGTTTATTCAAAAATAAAGCAATTTGGCACGTTTCACTCACCTGTTTTCTGAATTTTGTTAATTTAATTTTGTTAATGTGCCAAAAAAAAGGGTATCCGGGCAATTGAGGCCAGATATGTACTCAAGCACGGTTTTCTATTTCTGCTATATTGTTTGCAAATTGGGCAGCACGGTGGCACGGTGGTTAGCACTGTTGCCGCACAGCAAGAAGGTTCTGAGTTCAATTCCAACATCAGGCCGGGGTCTTTCTGTGTGGAGTTTGCATGTTCTCCCTGTGTTTGCGTGGGTTCCCTCCGGGTACTCCGGCTTCCTCCCACCGTCCAAAGACATGCAGCTTGTGGGGATAGGTTAATTGGATAATCCAAATTGTCACTAGGTGTGAATGAATGTGAGTGCGAATGGTTGTCTTGGCCCTGCGACAGACTGGCGACCTGTCCAGGGTGTACCCTGCCTCTCGCCCTATGACAGCTGGGATAGGCTCCAGCACCCCCCGCGACCCTGAAAAGGATAAGCGGAAGCGAATGGATGGAAAAAAAATGGATGGATGTTTGTAAATTGGCACAATACTTTATCTACTTTGAATAAAGACATATCCCTGTATTAACCCACAGCATAGCAGACATAGTACTATTTCAGATTCATTAGAAGGCATAAATTTTTTTTTTTTTAAACTAAAGTGAATTGAATGGTACTTCAACTATTTATTGTTAACATACTTTGATTATTATTATAAGCAGGTGTATATTTGGGTCCAATTTTTAAAATGATGCATTTGTTGCTTGCAGGTTTTTCTCCATTGTTTCTGTGGGGCCCATGTTGGTCTGGAAATATAAACTTTTAAAATGTTTAGGGAAAAGTTAAATCAATCTAGAAAACAAACAGCAGCATCAGTATGGGTTTATAGGCATAATAACTCTGTGATAGGCCCTGGGGGCCTAAAAAATATATATATATTTTTCCCCTTTATATTTGATTGACTGGTTTGATTGGTAATTTTTATTTCAACATGTGAACAATATACAAGTACATGTAGAAAAGAAAATAAGAGAGAAAAAAAATACTATACAAATTACATACAAAAAAAAAATTCTGATTAATTTACATGTTGAAAGGGAGTGGGTAGAAGTAAACACTTATTTAATCCCACCCCTTTGCCATAAATTATCAGTTAATTATTCAGTTCTTGGTTAAACTTTTATTCACAATTCACATTAGTATCATAGATATAAATGTGTTTTGGCAGAAGACTGAATAAGGGGAAAAGAGACATTAGTTCAGTCATTTTTTCAAGACAGCGACGCAAACTGATTTCAAACATGGGTAAGAAAATAATTTGTTGGTGTTGGACAGCTACAGAAAAACTTTCTGGAAATGATGTGCTAACACATATTAGAGTTTTTTAAAAAAGCACTTTTAATTTGTTTTGTAGCACAATTCATTATCCAGTTTTGACAATGAATAAAATAATCATTTAATTTGAAACTGTAAATCACACTGAGAACATTTAGCCTCTATTGTGTGAAAATAAAATGGTGAGACAGAAAAACATCATCAGCTGTCTGACTGAATAACTGCTTGGCACGCTCACTGATATAGGCTGAATCTGAATAGCATAATATAAATGTTCTTTACAGACAGAGACTGGATGCTGAAGCAGCTGAAACTGGTGACTGTGCAGTTTAATCAGCGCAAATGACCTTTGCACAGCCTTGTTTGATACACAGTCCTCATTCAGACCTAAATAAATAAATTGATAATAACTTTCTGTCTGAAGGACGCACAGAGATGGCCCTGACATCAGCGATTTTCAATGATAGCACTGTGTGTGGAGAACAATGTCCGTGCTGAGCGGCTTCTTCTCCAGCTGAATCTTGGCAGCCAGCGACATTACGCAACAAGGCCCGTCTTAATCGCTGACCCGCTATTACAGGAGATCTAATCAACTTGTTCTCTGTCCGAGCTTATCTGAACGTACAGGATCTTTTCATCAGCGGTGAGAGAGAGGCCACAGCACTTTGGACATCATGTGATCGAGTAGATACAGCACACTAAATCCAAGCAAATTTATTTATGAGGCACTTTTAACGATCTTATTAAATAAGAGCAAGGATCAATAAGGAGTCCTGTTATCATCAGGCGCATGAGGACTTTTGTTTCCAACACTCGTGAGCTGCAGGCTTTCAGGTCAAGGTCAACGGCAGCCATCCGTTCATGAGTCTTTAAGCTGACCTAAATTCTTTGCAAATTTAAGGAAAACCCTTAAATCTTGACTTCCACAGTGAAGGGAAACTGTGGCTGGCATGTTTTGGGTTCTCATGGTGACTAAAAACCAACACAACAGATGAAAGCGCTCCTCATCTATAGGCCAAGAGGGGTTTGATGAGGAAGACAATGCTGTAAGCTAGGCTCCTCATACATCTGTTGGAGTTTTGTACACTGATAAAAAAGCTTTAATCAAACACCAAATGATGGAATATCTCAGTGTCTTGATGTCATTCTAAAAAAATAATCAGTCCACAAACCCCCTCAGGAGCAGCTCTTTTTTTGTACAGTACATAGAAAAGTTTTGCCACATACTATTAAAATGTTCCACATTATCTAAGTACCTGACCTGTCCCTATGTACGCACATAGGTACGAGTGAGTTCACACGATTTTTCCAGCATTTCATCACCACCTGGGGCGATCGTGGCTCAAGAGTTGGGAGTTCGCCTTGTAATCGGAAGGTTGCCGGTTCGAGCCCCGGCTTGGACAGTCTCGGTCGTTGTGTCCTTGGGCAAGACACTTCACCCGTTGCCTACTGGTGGTGGTCAGAGGGCCCGGTGGCGCCAGTGTCCGGCAGCCTCGCCTCTGTCAGTGCGCCCCAGGGTGGCTGTGGCTACAATGTAGCTTGCAGGGGCTACAACCTGTGTGTGAATGTGTGTGTGAATGGGTGGATGACTGGATATGTAAAGCACTTTGGGGTCCTTAGGGACTAGTAAAAAAGTGCTATATAAATACAGGCCATTTACCTCATAGGAGATATTCACGATTCATTTTGAGGGCTGAAAAAATTTGTTAAAACAGTGCAACCAAATTAGTTTTCTCCTTGGGTATCACAATGGAAAACCAAATTCTTTCTTACTTCTTTCAAAATTATTTTACTTATAAACAATTTTCAATTCAAGTTTCAATAGCAAAACTGCACCAATTCATCATCTGCATTGTAAAGTAACAGAAACAAGCATTCATACCCTGGATGTTTGACCTATTTTCTTATTATTCACTTAAGTTTTTTCAAATCCTCTGAGCGGGCAGAAGACTTCATGACACTCACAGCCTCTGTAAGACTGTGTCCTTGAACAAGACATTAAAGCTGCCAATTGGCTGTAACTGTCAATATGATTACACACCATATGAGTGTAACGGTATGTTGCAGAAGCTCAAACAAACTCAGTTAGTTTTCCTCCCTCCACAGAAGTTTGATTTGAAGTTTCATGTGCAGTTATTTTCTCTTCAAATCTTTCAATAAAAACGTTTCGATTCAAAGTGAGCAGCAGAACAGAGCAAACTGTGAGCCAGCCAGACGAGAAGCTTTATCTTTCCTTTTTATTGAGGGCAATAAGTCTGAAGGGAGGCTTTAAAGCTTCGCACTTACTGCAGGTAAGAGTCACTGCAGAAGGAACCTGTCAAGGTAAAAAAAAAACAACCAAAAAACCCCAACTTCTCTATATCTGAATGAACGGCTGCTGTGGGCTTGAATTTAAGGGGTTCTGTTTTTTTTGTTTTTTTATCTCTGTCTTATCTGCCATGTGAAATCAATAAACAGATCAACAAATTTCAGGTCAAAATCTGTCTTACTTTTTGGTTTTATACTCGGCATTCAGGGATGATTTCTTAAGTCTGATCTTCATTTAGTAATCTTATAAACATACAGTAATGGGACACTCAGTTTATAATTTACCGCCTTAATTACTAATTTATGTGACGCTAATCCTGCTGTGATATCCTGCAGATGTGACTTTCTTTTATTTCATTCACTTACCTGAAGTAATTTCTATACATTGTATGTAAGGGCATGTGATACTGGTACTATTTAGATTCAGAGCTGGTTCTTTTTTCATTCATTTTGTTTCATTTTTAGAGAAAGATTTCTGTAAATAGGGATTTATATTTGATGAATTGTAGCAACATAGCTGTGTATATGGGTCCAGTCATTTATAAACACCAGTGATCTTTACATAAACAACAAAATAACAGTCTTTTCTAACAATACACTATTTAAAGATATATATTTTAAAGTACACAAGTTAAGTTAGCTGTGTGTGTCAAAGGCTCATCACACACAGGCAGAGTAATCAGCAAAGTGTTGCATATATTATGCATACAAATGTAAAAGTTTATAAATGCATCTTATTGTATAAAGTTCTCACGTCTTTTTTCTGACTACATATTTATATCAATAAACTAAAAGTCAAGTAATATAATTTTGATTGCCTCGGACATGAATAATAAATCTTTCAATGTATTCTGACTTGTCCAACGCAGATTACTGGTAAGTATTCCTCTATATCTGTTTAATTAAAAATAAGCAAAAAAATAATTGGATTAAACTTGACTCCTATTTTTAATAGTTTTCCCTTTTTTTCCCATTGATTTAAAACTGTGTTGACCACATGAGTTTTTTAATGGTTGTTTATTTTTAGCTTTTGGAAGTGTACAATTCCATGTTGCAGCGTTCGCGCACAGTGATTGCCAACTGATGATGACATACTACTGCTGGTGTTTCTTTGTGTGTCCAGATGAGGTGGTGTGTTGCTGTTCTCCTGGCAGTGCTGCAGCTGTGCAGCCCGGCGCTGCAGTCTGACCCGCTGCTCTACGTTTTCCAGCAGCAGGATGGGGAAGAAAAACCCAGCAGTCAGTCACATTATAATCCTACAGTTTATCACAGCACATTACATTAATGACTACATGACTCCTCCCACTAGAAAAATAAGAACCGTATCTGAGCTCCAGTTCTCATCACTTGCACCTGTGATTTCAACACTCGAACTTGCACACAGCTGAATCATCTACTTCTGTGTCAGACTGATAAAACCTGTATGTCAAGGATCATCAGTGTTTGTGAGAGTAAAGTCTGCAGTTTGAAGACTTCTAACTTTTAAAAAATGCATTGCTTAAAAATGTGTTTTAGAATTGATTTAGGTTTTTCAGGGGAGAAGAAATTACACTGATAATTTAAAGTCTTAAAACTTAAATAAACTCATGTATCAAATATGACACACTGGGCATTAAGGGGTTAAAGCACTGGAAAAGGGAGATTTTTCTGGCCACACCAACCCTTCTCAGCCTTCTTGGCAGATTTGGCTTTCTTTATTTTAGTTTTTACTCATTTTGTTTCCCCCAAAATATATTCAAATGATGCATTGGTCTTTTGGCTCTGTAGAACGTGTCCAACTTGCATCCGAGATGTGTAAGTCCAGTTAGTCAGGCAGGGACTAAAAATAAGAGGAATGTTGGAAAAGGTTCAGAGGAAATAGCAACCAGGTTTAATCTAAGGGATTGCTTTGTCACACTTTTTTCCATCACCTTATGTATGGTGTTATGGTGTGCTCATGTAAGGTGTGTGTTAAGATTGTGAACGTCCTGAATTTATATTAAGACCCTAACCCAATAACTGTCACTAGTGGATACACTTTCATCCTCACGGTGCTTAAAAAACTAGGTATGAAACTACCTGATGTCAACAATGTTTCTTTCTACTTAACACTTTGGTTGAAAGCAAGTGTCAGTCTTTCATTCAAACTCGATTCTGCTTTTTTTATTTTTTAAGAACATGTCTTAACAGTTTTGGTAGTAAATGTTTCAAATGAGTTGAAACTTTTGTTTGTCTAGAATAAATCCTACAGCCACTATCTTTCTATCTTGTCTTACAGAGCCATGGCTTAACCCCACATTGGGAAATGTTGTTCCTTCCCGGGGAGCTCTCAGCCCTCCTAAAGTTGCAGAAACCTCAGAAACTGAGACGACTTCACACTCAAGCCCCATGTTTGGTGAACATGTCAACCTTAGGTGGGTCACATGGAGCGGTTCCCTCCCAAATGGCGCTGTTGCCATCTTCAACGGCTACACCGAACGTACCGACTATGTGTGCAAAGTCAACTGTGAGGCTGGTTTCTACACTCCCAGCAAAGGGAACTTCTGCCAGTACCCCTACGCTGACAAAGAGTATGCATCCTCCAAGTTCGAAGTCCTGGTTAACGTGGACCACTTTGAGTTCCTGCAGTGGGTTGAAGATTCATATGGCTCTGTTCCTGAGTATGCCATCAGAACCTGTCCCAACTCAGACATATATGTGGGTAAGAATAAGTATGGTCTTGGTAAAGTGGTGACCAAACATGAAGCCTTCTTCCTCCCCTGGGAGGGGGATGAGTACTGGTACAAAAACTACCAGGTGCTTGCTATCAACAGAGACAGCTACAGCCAGCACATCGTTCATGTAGAGTATGCCATTGACCAGATGGAGCTGTTCCACCATCCTCCAGAAGCCCTGAAGCTCACTAAGGTCACCAACCTGGAGTGCAGAGATGTGGAGAAGACAGTGACACTGGAGAAGACCAGTACAGTGGAGAAGAAATGGGACATCGGCAGGGAGACCCGCAATGGCTCTGTGTCCACCATGACAGCCAAAGTTCCTATCTTTGGTCCGGGTAATGTGGAGTTGTCCAAGGAGCAGACGGTGACCTTCTCAAAGGGGACCACCATTGTGGAGTCAATCAGTCACGCTGTCTCTGTGGAGCTGCTGGTCCCACCCAATCACTCCTGCACCGTGAGGATGGATGGCAGAAAGATGAAGGCTGACATCCCTTTCACCGGCCGGCTGAGCAGGACCAACCACAACGGAGACACCCACTGGACCTACATCACAGGCACCTATGACGGCGTGAGTGTTGGCGAAATCAATGCTGTGGTGGAACGGTGTCAGCCAGTGCCTGATGCTGTCCCCTGCTCCCCAGATCAAAACTGATGATGAGTCTGCTGATGCTTTGTTTTTCAAATAAAGCGCAATCAAAATTCAAGGTGAATCGTTGTTTTGTATTCTTTAATTTTTGGAGGATTTAAAAGAATTTTGACTCATTGAGCTCCAAAGCCCTACTGCTTATTTTGATATCTACACACTAATTTTAAACATGTAGCATCAATCTTTTAGGATTACATGAACTGCTATAGTTTACTTCCTATGTTGTGCATTTGGTTGCCTAACCAATAAACTTGCGAACTTGTTCTTCATCTTCTTTCAGATGCTTCCTTTAGCAGTCACCAAAGCAGACCATCTGTCTCTATCTCACCCTATCCCTAGCATCTTCTTCTGTCACACCAGGCCTCTGCATGTCCTCTTTCAGTACATCCACCCATGATCTGTCACTGTGGCACTCCTAATAACATTTTGCTGTTCATCCATTGATGAAAAGTTTCAAAAAGTTAAAGTGAAAGGGAAATTGCCAGAAATTGGGAAACTACTGTGTTCCACCACAGCCACAGCCATTAAACACAACAACAAAAAGTAGTTCTAAATAGAGAAGATGAAGTAAAATAAAGTAAAATAAAATTCAGTTTGTACATAAAAACACATTTCGATAAATGTAATCAAAACTCGTTTAAATTAAATATTTATTGAAATTTAAATAGTGTTAAAAGGTTCATTGTTTGCTGTTTTCAGTCAATAGACTTCCAAATTTGTGTTTGCTGTAATAATCAAGTCGCCGAGCTAGATGGCGCTGTGTCCCCACAGAGGAGAAAAAGTCTGTCCGCCATGTTTTCTTGCTAGCGCTCGTTGAGCGGTTGGTAGCATAACAGGAGGGCAGGAAAAGGTCACTTCACATTTTAAAGACTGGTAATAATTACGGAAATTCTTATGATTAATTACAAACAGATAATAAATATCTGACAAAGTTACAGTTCATATAGTGAACCCCAGACAGAATCGATGAATTGACAGAATCGACATGAATGCCCGAACAGGTACTGTTGCTTCATGACTGTAAATACATGTGGAAACGCCTGATTTCTTACTAACTGTCAAGAGAAGACAATCGGTTCTATGAGCCGAATGAAAAAGGGCTCAGTTTTATGTAAGTTTTGCCAGTATTTGTTAAACTTTTTCAAGAAGTTGATTAACTTTCTAATGATGCGACGACTTTTGACGAGAGTCATAAACAGAGTTCTGCTGAGTGATCCGTTTTCACCTGCGATGATAATCGAAGCAGAAATACACAATCAAGGCCGCCGAAAGATGGTAAGTGTTAAACCTCGTAATCAGCTACATACTGTCTACTACACTCCAAGTTCTCGGGCAGCTGTATGTGTTTACTGCTATAGGTTTTGTAAGCCCCTAAAACCAGTCGTCAGATCTCGTCAAACTCCATTGAAAGATCTGAGAACTTAAAATTTTTGTAGGGTTTGTCAAATTGTTCATCAACTTACTACATTTTCAAAACACTTACTGAGTTACTCAAACCCCCCTTTGTAATTTGGCGTAATTGCCCTTAAATTAATTACTGGTTAGTGTGGGGATAATTTTAGAAGGAAAATGCTTTCATTCATTTCAGCCAGCTTGGGTCTTTCCTTATTCTTGTATTTTTTTCTATTTTATTTTAATCAGCATATCTAACAGTTTTATTTTAAAATGATGTCAGCTGTCCTCCCCTGTGTTAACTTGTCTTTGCCTTCATAGGCTTTTGTTAAAAATGAATGAAACCTCAATAAAGACCCTACAGTGTTTGCAGTTTGTAAGCAGCTATAGAAGCTTTATACAGTACAGTGCAATACAACACATTACAATGTTGTCTATAGTTGTTTTTCCTGTTAACAGAGCTGTTACTGAGTTTTTGGTCATTTTTAAGTCTAAATCTAGAATCTCTCTGTGTTTGCATCTAGCTCCAGTTTAAAAAGCTTATTTACTCAGTTGCTTTTACTTTGTCTGAATATATGTGTAAATATATATAAAAATTCAACAGTCTGCTTCCTTTGACTCAGACAGTCTTCTGTTCCTGTAGCTTCACTGCAGAGGTGTATGCCTTTAACTGTGTGTCTGCGTTTGCTTCAGGTGGTGGGGCTGGGTAATCCGGGGATGGAGGGTACCAGACACAGCGTTGGTATGACAGTACTTGGTGCTTTCGCTGCCCGGCTCGGTGTGGCAGACCGCTGGCGTGGCGACAAGTACGTGTCCGGTGAGGTCATTTTGTCAGAAGTCCAGCAAATGAATGTGGTGCTGCTTCGTCCCCGGCTGCTGATGAATGTCAATGGAGTATCAGTGGCCAAAGCAGGTGAGGTCATTTCTTTCTTTGTATGTGATTTTCATTAAATAAATTAGGCTTTTTTTCTTTCTTATCATCAGCTGTGAAATGTGGCATGTCTCTGCACAAGCATACTGAGGTGGTTCAACCTCCGTTATCTGTCACTCAGGCAGCCAGAAACAATTCAAGCTGGAAATTTAACTCCATTGAGGTTCAACCTGTGTTATTCAGCCCTGTCACTATATCAGACTTCTGTCTATGTGATTGAAAACAATCAGTGAATTATATTATTGAATGTAAAGAAAATTTAGTTCATGAATTGGAGACTTGTACAATATTTTATGTAGAGAAGCAGCTGCTCAGTACATGCCTTGGATGGATTCTGAGAGTTCTGTCTACTCATTCCTGCTTTTATAATATCATAATTGTAGGAGCCATTTTTGTGTTGTTACCTTATGATGTTGTGTTTATGGGACTGTATTTAAGGTAGACGTGTAATTAGCATCAGGTGTTGTTGGTCAGAAGAAGTGAACAGTTTGTGACCGCTGCGCTGTTGTGAGTTATGTTAAAGGACGTTGGATACTAAGAGAACTGTTGAACAACAAATACAACCGATGGAATGCAATAAAGATGTTAAACAGACAAGATAAGTACGGCTCGAGTTATTGGACTATGTCAAGTTTCATTCCTAACAGTGGCACCGCATGACCCCCACCATCGAACACCTCAGTGGCTTCAGGCGTAGGCTTAGCCTCTACAACAATAATAAAAATGTTCAATCTCACAGAAAACCAAAAAGACTCTTAGTCGACCACTTCACGCAGCCTTCATTGGACATCGCTTCTGCTGAGAGGAGTCTTGTGTTGATCTTCTGATTGTGTGCTCAGTTTGCTTTAGGCTGAATAAAGACTTTGACACGTCTTCTTTATTTTACATGTGAGAACTTTGATTTTTATTATTATTATTTCAGACTTTTTGACAGTTTACAGGTGTACGTGATGTCTGTGTGTTTATTTTACTTGCACATTTATATGAACAGAAGGAAGCTCAGGTTCAAAGTGTTTAAGGGTTCTGTACTAGTAAAGTTTTGTTATCCTGCTATATTATTAGAAGCAACCAAACTAAGAAACTTTTTTTTTTGTATGTTTTGATTTGTTTAGCTGCCAAATATGGCGTCAAGGCTGAAGATATCCTGCTGGTCCACGATGAACTGGACAAACCTCTGGGGAAAATCGCCATCAAACATGGAGGAAGTGCCAGGTGGGTCATCCTCTATCATAGTGTTGGGTCTTGGATTGCTTCGGACTCACCGCGATCTGTTTACATCACCAACAGTATTCATTATCTTAAGCGATGTATTGACATTGGTGAGGGAAAGCAGTCACTAAAGTATCGTCAAGGTACATTTAACATTAACTTTAAGGCCAATAAACAAATATATTTCTGCGTGGAAGTGCAAGTGCGGCTTTTAAACTGCATTTGCACTCATTCGTCCAAACTTTCAGACTGGAAAGTTTCTGTCTTCATGGGGAAAAAAACAACAGCAACAAGGCTCCACTATATTTTAAAGACCTGACAGTGTCTTGTCCCAGTAGAGCACTTCTCTCTCACACTGCAGGTTTACTTTAGAGCTTCCAAAAGTAGAATAGGAGGCAGAGGCTTCAGCTTTCAGGCTTTTCTTCTGTGTAATCAGCTCCAGTTTGGGTTCAGGAGACAGACAGCCTCGCTACTTTTGAAACTAGGCTGAAAACTTTACTTGAAACTTATTTTTTGATCAAACCTGGATCAGATGGAGGGATCAGGTGACCTCAAAGCATCCATTAGTGATGCTGCTATAGTCTCAGGTTGTTCAGGGACTTCCCATGATGTGCTCAGCAGTTCTCTCCACCCCCTTTATTCACTCCCTGTGTGTTTATGCGTCACCACTGCATGTCATTAACTCGAGTCTTCTTTCCTATGCAATTTGTGTTTGTCCTTATTCTCTCTATGCTCTCCTTTTTTCCACTTCTCTTTTATCTGTTCTCTCTAATATTTTAGGGTCTTTACCTTTCACTATTAAGCAATTTGAAGCAACTGCTGTTGGGAATTGTCTTTGTACACATAAGATTGAATTCTCAACACCTCAGTGTTCAAACTTGGAGCATGTGTGAGCTGCCTGAGCTCTGCCTGCTGTAAACCTTGGTGTCTTCCCGATGTCGAGACGAGAAGACAGAAGCAGCACAACCAGAAATAACAGCGAAGTGAGGCCTGTATTTTAAAACCAACAAACTTCTAATCAGCACACACAGCTTCTCTCTTGGGCCTTAGTCATTCTGGTTCGTCTCTTGTCTCTTTTCTTCCTCCTGCTACTATTTTTGCTCTTGATTGCGCTGTTGTGATGAAGCCTCCCCGAGCTCTTCAGACTCTTATGCCTGACTCTCATAATGTTGCAAATGGTCTGTTTTTATTAATTTTATGCCATGACGCTTGTTGTATCTCATTAACTGTTTTGTCATTTTACTTACTAACAATAAGAATGGTGTTCAGTTAACAGGCGTCCCCTCTCAGTACGTTTTTCACTGCTACTCAGAGCAAGCTGGATAAAGCAGTTTAATCCTGCTTGAAAAGCTACGTTAGGCATTCCAGCCGTGTATAACCAGATGGTGATTTATGAAAATTTAATGTAATGCAAGAAACTGCAACTGGTGCATTTGGTATCCTGAAGATGGACAACAAAACCAAAGAAGAAAAGAGGTTGTCAGATTGATAAAATAAATGTCGCTTCTCCTTCCCCACAGAGGTCATAATGGAGTCCGCTCCTGTGTGGACTGTCTTCAGACTGATGTAAGTCACTGCTGTGTGTGTGTGTGTGTGTGTGTGTGTGTGTGTGTGTGTGTGTGTGTGTGTGTGTGTGTGTGTGTGTGTTATCACGCTGAATTCTGCTCTGATTTTATTTTAATGTCAGATTTATACTGTGGTGTTCGTGCTGTTTGTCCTGTTCTTATAGTGGTGATTAAAAACAATAATAGTTCATATTAAAAGTGTAATTAAATTAATTTAAAATAAAAATTCAGTTAACTGTTAATATATCTCCAAAAGTTGATTCTGTTCATCTGGACGTAGCGTTTTGAGGGAGAAACGTTTCGTCACTCATCCAAGTGACTTCTTCAGTCTCAGCTGACTGCAGGTTTCCCCAAATCTTATAAGCAGTACATTTGCATAATGACTGAAACCAGCCCACTGAAGGATCAATGGGCTGGGAGGTCAGTTAGCTGAGACTGAAGAAGTCACTTGGATGAGTGACGAAACGTTTCTCCCTCAAAACGCTACGTCCAGATGAACAGAATCAACTTTTGGAGATTTACTTTCCTGGATGATTGAGCATGCATCAAGACGAAACTGTTAACATAGTTTGCCGGTCACTTAATATCCATATGCAAAAGTCCTGAGCCGCCCCTCATTTGTTTATACTTTGTTAGGAAAATGGGAAATAGATGTAACGATTTATTGAAACATGCAAACATACATGGAAGTGCAGTTTTCAGTTCTAGCAGGCTGGTATGACCACCATCATTCTTATTCAACACATTCTGAACTCTGTGAGCAGCTTTCTTGTCATTTCTTTAAATAGTCTTCAGGAATAGTTCTCCAGGCTTCTTTAAGGACACTCAAAGCTTTTCTTTGGATGTTTCTGCATTTTGTTACATTCTCTGTTAAGATGATCTCACACTGCTTCAATAATGTTGAGGTCCAGGCTCTGATGAAGCCAATCCATGACTGGTGGTGCTCCACTGTGTTTTTCTATCCATGTATGCTTTTACTACACTGGCAGTGTGTTTGGGATAAGTGCATCAAGGGACAGGTGCATGCATCAAGATGTGTTTGGGATAATCAGATGCTTTCCAGATGGTATTGCATTGTAACATTTTGCACTTCATTATGTTCATGACTTATTCCGTTTTGACATGATCCCTAACAGCACTCGCTGCTGTACCTCTTTCTCGACCTCCTCTGTACATATTGATGACAGTTTGAATCATGACGCTTCCTCAAACAGTAGATGGATCAGCTGCAGGTCTTTTCTGGATTTTTTCCCCACAGTTTCTTGGGAACCTGACTTTCAGATATCTAGAGCAGATCATCTACTGTAGATATTATTTAGGCATGCCACTCAGCAAAAGAAAAGATATTGCTCAGGTAAAAGGACTGGACTGAAAAAGTAAAAAAAATAGGCCGTGTCCTAAGAAAAAGTTTGAAAACCCTTCTGAAAGGTGGAGAACTATTTCTCAAGCTTTAAAAATTGAGGTGTCGAGACTTTAGTATTTTACTGTAGTCAAATGCACTTTGAAAACATGGACATATACTCAACCAAATCTAAAATAGTATCAAATAACAATTAGATGAAGATATATGTTTACAGCTTAAAATGCAGAAATAAAGAACATGTACATTGTTTAACACCAGGATCTTTTTTCTCCTGCAGGTGATGCCTAGACTGCGGATCGGGATTGGCCGGCCGACAGGGAAAACGTCTGTGGACCGTCATGTTCTGGGCAGATTCACCACAGAGGAACAGAAACTCCTGGATTCTGTTTTGGTCCAGAGTGTGGACCTCCTCCTTTCCCAGCTTTCCCAGCAGGACTCACAACAGGACTCCCCGCTCCCCTCCTCACCAGCAGGGGGCAGACAAGCTGCACAGAAGAGAAACGAGAGGGCCCGCTCAGGCTCACCAGCTGAGGACCCTGCAGCAGCTCAGAGCTGAAGCTGAAACCTGAAACCTGAACTCTGTTATCACACATAGAACTGCCTCAAAGAGAAAACATGAACCACTTTATCTGTATTTATTCACTTAAAGGTGATGTTGTTACATGAAAAGTCTCAGAGAACAAGAGGAGAACCGAGAAATCTTGTTGTCTTCAGGTTTGTTCCCTACACGATGAACCAGTTTTTTTATTCACTTCGCTGAAAAGCTGGCAGTGAAGCCAGAAGCTTGGCTCAGTCTGTGGCAGAGGACAGTCTGTCTGTGAGATATGAAAATAAATCGTTATTAAACGAAATAAATTTGATTATCTGATTTTCATGCACATTAAGAGCAGTTGAGCATTTATTTACATTAAAAACATTTAAAATCTGCAAACTATAGACTCTCTGACACCAGTACTACTATACTAATACTAATAATACCTGCCCTGACCGACTAATTCTAATAAACTCACTGACCACTTCATGAGCTTCACCGTGCTCATACAGGTCTGGACTCCCTTTTGCCTTCAGAGCTGCCTTAATTCTACCTGGCACAGATTTAACAAGCTGCTGGAAAGAGTCCTCAGAGATTTTGGTCCATGTTGACACGATAGCATCACACAGATGCTGCAGATTTGTTGACTGCACATCCATGATGTGCATCTCAAAGGTGCTCTATTGGATTGAGATCTGAGATCTGTTGAAGCTGTTAAAGTACAGTAAAGCCATGATATGTTCAAGAAGTTTGAGACTATTTGAGCTTCATGGTGTGTTTTCCTGCTGGAAGAGGCCCCTCTGATCATAAAGTGATGGACGTGGTCAACAACAATAGGTGGGCTGTGGCATTAAAGTAATCCTCAGCTGGTAATAAGGGGCCCAAAGCGTGCCAAAAAATATTTATAATATGAATATGTCCTCACAAAGATAGCCAAACTAACATGCATGTATCTGTGTGAGAGTCCTACACACAGAGTGGAGCAGGCGGTCACTATGCTGGTAATAGAAAACAATTTTGAGCTAAACTAAGTGAAGGGCCAAACCACCACCATAATCCTACCGCACTCACTCTGATCCACAGCAGTTCACTCATAGTTGCAGACACACTGACATATCTAAAAATATTCAATTTACCTCCCACAAGCGACGCATACAATATATGAAATACTCTTCTTAATATGTGATGGGATGCTAACAACAGTTTATAATACTTTGCACTCTGCATTTGCACTTTCTTCTTGCAGTCGGTCAAAGGTCAAAGTCTCTTAGCCTTCAGTCGTGTGTTATTGATTTTTTTGTTCTTTATTTGATGATCATGTTCTTTAAGTTAGAGGCTTCCTGGATGATTTTTATTCATGAGCAATGTCAGTAGAAGGAGCTGAACCGCTCTAAAACAAAGACTTGTTTAAGCTCATCTTCTCTTTTTTTGTATCTGAGAGTCCACGTGTGACTCTGCCCCCGACATACGGGTCTCCTCTCCAGCTCGTCCTCCCTGTTGTGGCTCTTTTGGCCAAAAACATATTGATTTCCTCTTCCGATTGTCCCACTAATTGCGCCTCTTCATCAATTATGTGTCTTTAATGAGTTGCATCCCGTCAAGAGGTGCGCTGCATTCTCACACTGCTGAGAATGCCAGAGGAAGGTTAGCGGAGGAATGGAGGGTTCGGCGGGGGAGGTGGCGTACAAAAAAAGGGCAGAAAACAGCGGAAAGAGGCTGACGAGCCGCTGAATGAGGGAAATCAATACAAAGGAGGCCAGTAGATTGCGATGGAGGGCAGAAGAAGAAAGGCAGGCGAGAAACAAAAGGGGGCAAACATTGTTTAGACCCAGATTTTTGAGGCCTTCTGTCCTGCTGTAGCTCAGAGGTACAATAGCTGTAGGGACACACTTGTGGACATGAGGGAGAGAAAGGGGGGAGCTCAAAGGAAACTTCTATGACAGCACACACACACACACGAACACCCTTCGCCCTCCTAAACCCCCCATCTTTCTCTGCTGTGACCCCGTTGAGCCACCTTTTGCCTCCATCAGGCCACTTTCCCAGCCCTTCCTCTCTGGTCAGCTTTATGAGGCCTTACCAGCAGCTTCAGTAACTTTTCTTCTGTGTGGGTCAAAGGTCAAAAGCAGGCTGAACACCCAACCTTTAGAGAAAAAAACTAAATTTATTCAAGAACAGCCTTCAAACCCTCCCCCTGCGCTCTATTCCCTGGAATAGCAGCCCAGTGGGGGGTCTTCCCTCTAACTCTGAAGTAGCACAAAACGAGCCCTCGGACTCCGCTGGCAGTGGGAATTTAGATAATTTAGCTTATTAAGCAGATCTATGTTAATGGTATGTATATATTTTATCAATGATACTTTATATTTGTCCCTTTAGAACATCATTTTCCACACTTGAATAAAAGTTGGTCCTCACTTGGTGAACCCTACTCCCGACTTTTCCCAAAGCTTGACCAAAGACTTTCATGGATTATTTCGCACATTTCTAGCTCCATGTTTTTATACCTGACTCTACCAGGGCAGCTCAGGGCAATTCAGAGTTCAAAATAATCCTTATTCATCTTACATTGGGAAGTGCTGCAGCCCCTCAGTTTATCCCTAATGTGAAATAAGCTGTTGGGGGTCTTCTTTCTTTAAGGTGATCCTGCTTTTAAACTAGCTTCCTTCTGATTGGTTTCAGGAGGTTTGAAAAGCAGGTAGGTGGGGCTTCCTGTCTTTATGACATCATACTGATCCAAATGTAGGAAAAAACTCCTTGAAACTAAGTGTCTGAAGCATGAACTTTTGGGATAACAGGGATTATCTTTACATGCAGTGACCTCATAATATGATTATCTGAACCTTTGGGAATGGGACTTCCCTGGAAAAGCACAACAAGTCTTTGATGAACAGTTTTGATTAGGCAGAAATGTGGGGACAGCAGCTTATTGAATTTGAGGATGTTTTTTCAGTGGGATAAACAAAATCAAGAACTATTCTCAGAGTATTCTTGGGTTTTTCAAGTTAAATCTAAAACCACTAAACTAATGTCTTGGCTCTGACTCAGCTTAGAGATTCATAACGTACATACAGTGTCAATGATCACGTACTTCCATACTTTAAATATGTACTTTGACTCTGTAAATGTTGTCATGCTATAAAAACAAAGCTACAATAACTATTATCCAGAGAGAGAGAGAGAGATGCCTCTTTAATGACACAAGTTTGAATTTATTTTGGATTTTCTCTGATACACACAAGGTCAAAAGTATACATAAAGGCTCAAATACATACACTCACTTAAATCTTTTAATAAGTGGGGCTAAAGCTTCTTCTAAGTTGACAAGGCCTAACCTAACTTCTCTTTAGTAATTATGATTGACTATAGCTGGTAGTTTTTCTTTCTGAACTCATCGGATTGATCATTGTTCAAAGCAGTGGGAAAGTCCAAGAATAGTAGAGTTGCACAATTTTACCTAAGTACAAGTTATTCTAATATGTCGCCCCTTTGCCAGCGTCTGGAACAACACCCAAACTGTCACCAGTGCAGTCCAGAAGATAATTGATTAGGATGTTCAAGAACAAACCCAGAAGCCACCGAGACTCAAGCCTGCCATGAATTGAAAGTGCTGGAACACCAGGGTGCTGGCAGAGAAAGAAGCTTCTGCTCAATGACTGACATGTTCAAGCTTGACTGAAATTTTCTGCAAGCCAAATGCCTTCTGGAGAAAAAGGTTTCATGGTGAAACGAGACAAAGCTGTCCGAAGACTTCATGAGTCTTTGGACAGCCTATAATGTAAACTACATAAGTGGCCAACGTCATTGTTGGAATTTATGCTGTGGTGGTACAATATGTGCAGTTGTGGCAAATGCGCTCCTGTGAAGTCCTCCAAAATCCTAATTGTGCATCTTTGGAAGATAAATCCTGTTCCAGAAATGCAATTACATCAAGTCAGTGCAGTCCACAATACTGTGACTGGCCTGATTGTTCCTGTGCACTTTTTCTGTGCTACTTTTTGGCGGCAGTTTTGTGTACAAAATATGTACAAATATATTTGCCCCCCCTCAGACCCCCCCCCCCTCCCCCAGAAATGACCGGGACCCAGGAGAAAAAAAGTCCCAGCATTTTACTTTCTATCAGCTAGCACTGCATACAAAATAAGCTGAATAAGCTAAAGCTTGATTTTGACTTCCGTGGAAAATCTACATCCTAACTTACAACGTAACCAGAAACCCCTCTTAACCGTACACAACATTTTACGCCATTCATGTTGTAATGGCCTGGGTGGACCCGACGTGTAGTTAAATTTCTCGGGAGGTGCACGTCAAGTTACATTTAAGGTTAAGGTAGGGTTTAGAGCTGTTTCCGGTTACGTCATAAGTTACAACGTAGATCTCCCAAAGCATAATTAAGCCGTTACTCCTTAAGTTGCGATGTAGGGTTTCAGAGGAGTTTGCACCTATGATGTAGCTACGGCACAGATTTCCCACTGCAGTAACAGTAAAGGTGAGGCTTGTAAACCTAAGAATTCTATTTTTGTTGTTGTTTTTCTGACTGGTGCCAATATTTTTTTTTTTACAGCTGAAATTTTGTTAACCTATTTAAAATTATATTCTTACAATGCTGTACTGAGTTATGATGATAGTATGGCTGAGAATACCTTCATGATTTCCTAAATATATCGTTTATATATCCTAAGGGACTCACTGTGGTGCTAAATAGTAAGCTAACAGCGACCTTAGTGTGTTTTATCTCTTCATTTATTACTGTAATGTTACAGCAGGGACATGTGCTGCATCTGAGGTCCTTCAGTATCACTACAGTTTCTTTTTTTTTTCTTCCATCATCACAGAATAGACTGAAGCCATCCTGGTTTCCCATGGCAGTTCAGCGTGTTACAGTGAATCCAGGCCCATTGGGGACCCCTTTCTCATTCGCCTCTTTCCGATGAGCAAGCATTAATAACGCGTCCTTTTCTCCTTTCATAGCCATAATCTCCAGTGATCTCAGGCCTCCCGCACTAAATTATTCTTACAGGCCCATGAAAAGGCAGCAGCGGGGCCCTTTAAGAGGCAAATGAGCATCCAACGTGCAAAGATGTTCCCAGCAACGGAAATGTTAACTCACCGTATAGAGCAGAGCAGGGCAGAGGGAAACCACTGGCATGTCTGATGAGAAGGGATGGAAACATTTGCCATCGCCCTGAAGGCAAAGCCTGCTGGGTAATTTATCCTTTAACCCCTTGTCTAACTGTTTACATTTGGCTTTAAGCTGATGGGTTTATTTAGAGCAGTGCTCAAGGAGTGCAACCGTAGAATAAAAAGAATGTTGACTCCACAATGTAGGATTTATTTCAAGCTTTCAGA